TGTTGCTGTTGTTATTATTATTATTATATAAATTTCAGAAATGGTACATTAACTTTAAAGTACAGCTGCAAGCTACAGAAAAGATATTCCACGACACTTCTAATCACTCCTTCTACAACCTGGATTGAAATTTTGCATACTTCTATTTTATGCATGCATCTTCTATGATTGTCTTACTTACTACCATTAACTAAATTCTGTTGTCATTTGTCTAGGTTGATTGATGCTTTAAAGGAAAGCATTGCTCCCTTTTTTTCTCACTTGATTCCAAAAATCTGAATGCAATATTACACATCCTTCATATAATCCAACATTTTCATTCTTTCTCAGAAATTATGTTAGTTCTTACATATACTCAATCTGTTCTTCTTTGAGATTTTGAGAATTATTTGTAGAGAAGGAAACAGTTGGCCATTATGACAAGGATATATCATAAAAACCGATACAAAACTGCTTCATTTTTCTTACTATCTATTTATTTCTTCTCATAGTTCCTCAGTTTCTGTTTCACACAAATAAAACACAGAGCTTACCTATTCACTGAACCTATATTTGGGTTGTATCAACAATTACATTCTGATCAACTACATTCTGATCAATCAACAATTATATAACTGGAATTCAGAAACAACAGTTTCTGATATGTAATTTTCATTATATGGATATACATATACTTTATGTCTAACCAACAGCCTAAAATTTGCTTGTCAGCAGAATTTACATCTGAATAGGCACACATAGCAGTATAAAATACAAATTCATAAACAAAAATATTACTAAATAAGCATCTATAATGATGATTTTAGGCATTCAATGATGCAGTAATACATTAGAGTTTAATGAGGAACAAAGATCAAGAGTAGGCTTGTGACTTTAAGTATTAAGGCAGGACTTCAATAAAGGTTAAATTAAAGCATCCCTATAAAGCACTTTGATGAAGAGAAGCACCCTTTTGCTTTTAAACAGTGGAGTGGCTTTGCTTAGCACGTGCAATAAACCACTTCTTTCAAAACAAACTGATCAGTTGCTTCTAATCATAAAGTCAAGATGGAACATGCTGCCTCCAGATTCTATTCCAGGGGAGGCTATAAAATTGTATAAACATATAAAAATTACCTAACTTATTTGTACAATTCTGTCATTTTTCATGGAGTGTCTCCCTGAGATAAAGAAAATTTAATTCATGTATCCTTTTTAAATATGTTTCTGCTAGAACAAATGAAGTACCAGGATAATTACTCATTACAAAACACAACAATATTTGAAGTTTCACTTTTCTGAAATATTTTATCTGACTTACAAAGATTATTAATTATATATCTTAAACATCTCATGCAAGAATGCAAATGTCAGATGTAGTTTTCTTAAAGGCTACTGCTGATAATTTAAAGGAAGAGATAATTAAATTTAGTATGTAATAATGTGTTTGATATGATATGAATCAGTCAGAAATCTTTCAGATATATTTATAAGAAGTGATTAGTGGTGTATTAGAGAGTGGCTAAATTTTTACCTATATCACTACTAGTGTGGATTGAATTTAGAGGACTCATTAGCAATAGCAATAGCACTTAGATTTATATACCACCCCACAGTGCACTCTCTAAGCCAGACATGTCAAACTCATGGTGTCATGTGATGTCGCGCAACGTATCAGAGCTTTTTCGCAATGGGGTGGGTGAGGCTTCCCGATGATGCGTCCGGCCCACGGGCCGGCAGTTTGACACCCCTGCTCTAAGCAGTTTACAGAGTCAGCTTATTGCCCCCAACAATCTGGGTCCTCATTTTACCAATCAAGGAAGGATGAAAGGCTGAATCAATCTTGAGCCCTTCCTGCTGTGGGCAGGATTTTCCTATAATACTGCATTCTAATCACTGCACCCAGTAGGCACTGATTATATTTATTAAACACAATTTTGTTAGAATATTTCTATCAAGTGATGGGAATTAGCAATCACATATCTCTCTTCAGGCTAAAGTTAATCTAAAAATTCAGTGTAAACTGTGGGTAATGTGACATGAAAAAGCTTCACAGCTCAAGTCTGAATAAATCCAGTTCAATTTATATGGAACTCAATGTTTATTACAAAACTGGATCTATTTTATATGATTTCCAAGGAAATAGAAACAAAACATAGAATGTAATTATATTATCATTTTAAACTGAAGCATCTTTTTCATTAATTTTTGAACTGCCTTAGATTAGCCATAAAAACAATATTGTTCTATTTTTGCTGTTATTGTTAAAATCCAGTTATTTTATATAAAGTTTATAGTTTGGTTTGTATAGGCATTTAACAATAGTAAAACAAAATAAAATTGTGAAATGGGGCACTTTTAAGTCCCTAATTAAGAGAAGATTCCAAGTTGTAAAGAAAACTGAAAATTAGAAGATGTAGGCATGCATTTTATTTGAGAGTTCATCCTGGAATAATTTAAAATATTCCTTTACTTCCTTTATATAAATTGTTTATATTCTCCCAAATATTACATAAGCTAAGCCACTTTTAAACACATACACACATATCAAAACTTTTTGGTTTCAACAAGAAACATATTTGTTAAAAGATAGAGATCATTATACAAGAAAAGGAAAAAGAAAATATATATTTTTAAAAAAAAAAATAATCTAATTTTTGGAATACCCTCTTGGATTCCCATATTAACAGTCTTCATGCATAAGTTGATTACTGCAAGCCGGACCTTACAAATCTAACCAGATATCATAGAGATATCTCTACTAGATTAATCCCTTGGGGTTCCTCTAAATTTATGTCTTTTTATCACTTTCTCATTGCTTCCTTTCTGTCATATACAGAATGCAATGTGTTACATTCATATTAAATTTCCATTTGTTTTTTTTTGTTTTTGTTTTTAAATAGGAAGGGTGCAGAAATTAAAGAACCAACCCAGGATTAATATTTTGTTTTTTGTTTTAACTAAAATTCAAAAAGAGTATATCAATTAAGCTGTTACTGTCTCTGCTGGAAGCTTGGCAATTAGTTCTGATTTGCCATGTCCTGGTGTATTTAAAAAAGGACATAGAAGGGGGAATAGTAAAGGGAGGAGGAGGAGGAGGGGGGGGTTATAAGAAGCAAAATGAAGGTGGCAGAGGCATCAGACAGAAAAGATTTTAGAATGGCTTTCTTTCTCCTACAGCATATTCTCATTTTTGTTTAAGCCCTTACAATGTGACAATATCTGTAATAAATAAATTCTCTTTCTGATTGTTGTTTTTACCTTGCTTCTCTAATACATGGCTGAGAAACCCTTAATGTCCTATAGCTGTTTAACTGTCCATCTGTCTCCATATTAAGAAAGGTTTTTACATCATGTAATGCTCCCAACGGAGCAGATGTCAACATTCTTCTAAATTCTTTCTGCTTGACTGTTTGTGTTTAGTTAAGACTATCTGGAATTGGAAGCTTAAATTGTATCATTCTTATTATCCACAAGATATGGTCAGGAAGGGAACAAGGCAGTGGGAGGTAAGGGAGATGAAACCATCTAAATCAAGCAGAAAAGGTCTGTGCTCTTGGAACACTATACTGAGATGAAACGAAGTTGCATATTTAATTTAGCTTCAATTCACTAATCATGGAGTCTTTGGCAAAAACAGACTTATTGGCCTATGTTGCACAAATGAAATTTATCTGTTGCTATTGTTGTTGCTGCTGTTGTTGATGGTTCAGTGTCACTGTGGAAGAAGGTATAAGAAAATAGCCCCAGCCATTATTACCATATTATTATTGTGGTTAAGTTGCTGAGCTTGTCAGCTGGATACCTGACAACCCAGGTTCAAAATCCAAGTGCCGTGCAATGAAGTGAGCTCCATTACTCTCCTCAGCTCCTGCCACTCTAATTCAAAAGCATGCAAATGTGATTTGATAAATCGGTGCCACTTTGGTGAGAATGTTACTGTTTTCTGTATTTTAATGCTGGCCACAAGATGATAGAAGTATCTCTCAGACAATGCTAGATCCCTTGGCTGAGAATCAGAAATGAGCACCTCCCTCTTGAATCAGTCACAACTGGAGAGGTGAAACTTTGAACCTTTATTGAAGTGCTCCTCTATATTTCACTAAGCAGAATAATTAAGGTTATAAATATTTCCTCCATTTATGTTAGGTGTGATCAAGGCAAATTAAAAATATCTAATAATATTAGAAAGTAAAAGGAAATCATTATCAGGTCTATGGTAAAGTTAACTTCATGAGTATCCTCAGTCCACCATTTCCCTATAATAAGGGAAAAGAAGAAGCAAATACTCCATATAATATAGTGGGATTTTCTTCCATCAACAGTAGCCATTGTTAACAGAGAAAATTTGGCCAGGGTTTCAGTGTGAATGACATCCCATGGTTTGCAAAGAAGTTGCAGAATTAAATTTGCAATATTATGCTAAAGTTGTAAACTAGATTGTAAGAGAAATGTTATTTGTTTAATATACATTCATTTGATAGCTTGGTATACAGCTCATATTTTCTGTGTCTGTTTCATGTTTTTCATTAGTGTGCACTGTCATTTTTATATCAATGGAAACTTTTATTTATTTAATTAGGAGTGATATTTAACAAACCTGGCAGCTATGTATGTTTGGTGTATAAACTTTAACAATGCATAAACTTTATACCAATTTAGTTTATACAAATACAAACTTAACGTTATACAATTAAGATAGATGCCATGCCTTTCTTGCAATCTAATTCCTCTACCTTGGTAGCAATTTCCTAGAAATAAAACAGGTTGCATATTTTGAGATGCAATTATTGCTCAGAAATTCAGAACTTTTAATTATTCTCAAAAGACCAAATGGAAATGCAAAATATGGTTCAATCGAAAATGAAAGGGGAATATCCATGCCTTCAAATTTTCAATGAAAACATGCAAATCTATTGACATATGCAAATTTAGCAAATTTGCATGATTAATAGTAATCATAATAGAATAGGTGCGCAAAGCACATGCAGTGCAAATCAGGCATAAACATCAAAACTCACCTCTAGCTTTGCTTTTTGTAGTAGCCACTGGGACAAGGAAAAGGTTGCAAGAGGAGAAGAGAACAGACAGGGGTTAGTTAGAAGTTCTGATGAAAAGTATAGAGACAGTTTCACTAATGGCATAGGACTAATAAAAGCTAGATTCAAATACAGTATCTATGTCACAATGCATATTTTTCCACCATTTACCAAATGATGTCTATATTATGTATTCTACATTGAGGCCAATGTTGCTTGAAATAGATTACCGGCAGCAGTAATTGCAATTAGTTATGCACTAAATGCCATACAATTTGTAATTTAAATTATTTACCTTTTTTTAAAATAAAAATCAACATTTCAGTTTATATCTATAGATATATACATAGATATGTATTTATTTGCCACCCATCTCATTTGGAATGACTCTAGGTGGCTTATACATTAAAAGCATTAAAATCATAAAACACTTTATGATAAGATTTTGATCTTATATGGCAGAACATTCGGATATTTATATTATTTCTTTTATATATGCTCATAACACCACATAGATCTTAGGTTTTTATGAATTTATTGATAAGCCAGGAAAACAGAGTCATGATGATGATAATAATAATGCTGAAGCTATTATTTGTTTTACTGCATATTAATTGGATGATTAAAAAAACTGAGATCCAGCCCACAAAATACAATTGTGGACTTTATTAGGTTGAGAAGGAAAGACATTCTTATTACATTATTCTGAATTTCTAAAGGAAAGGCAAAATATTACTTGGAAATTAAATTAATAAAAATAAAAAAATAAAACATCCACTACATCTATTTAATTCACTTTAACATTTTTAAATGAAAATGTTAGAAAATCTTTTAATGAATAGTTAAAATGTAGAAGAAAAACTTTATGAATTTTGTGGCAAAGTACAATAATACTGAAACTCAGTTCTAATGCTGCCTTAGGAACAAAGCCAGTTGAGGGAAAATAATAATAATAAAAAAAATAGATTATTATACAAGCTGAACTTTTATTTGATTGATTACTAATACCACTTTTAACACAATCTGGCTTTGCACCATTTTTCTAAAATTTTGTCATGGTCAGTCATGCCAAATACCATTTAGGTCTATATGTAGTTTATATTATTTGTGCCAGCAAGAATTAATTTACACAGCTATACAATAAACTGTATTTTTCTTTCTGAAGCCTTTTCACCCGGTTTGGATAGATCAGTGTTTCTCAACCTTGACAATTTTAAGAATTTAAAATTTAAGAATTCCACTGGCTGTGGAATTCTGGGAGCTGAAGTCCACATGCCTTAAAATTGTCAAGGTTGAGAAACACTGGGATAGATCTTTTAGAGTGTTTCACAGATTCTTTATTTTTGTTTATATAACAGTAAACGTGGTATCATTTTTATCATCATTAACCATGGTGACTCGAGGTAATTTATTCATTCATAGTTATGATAGGTAGATTTTAAAACACAAGCATTTATTCCAATATCAAGCCAAGCCCTAGAAGCAGTGGTAGGATTCAGCCAGTTGGCCCACTTCAGCAGACCCGGTAGCTAATTTTTTGTTTCCCAGGCCCAGAATGGACTTTCAGAAGTGGCATCCACACAGAGAAATGGTTATTCACATATCTGAATCCCACCACTGCCTAGAAGGCACTCTGCATAACTCACTTAGCATGAAAATTGTTTATTTATTACTGCGTCCTGCTCTTTCAACCTGATACCATTTATGACAGCACCATTCTCGTATTACATGGAAGTTAACTTTGTTTAGGAAGTTTCTCAAAGTTTCTAATTACTAGAACACCCTTCTCTATTGTTCTTTTTCCAATTTTCCTTCCTTGCATGTTTATATTATTGTTATTATTATTGTTAATAATAATATTATTGTTAATAATATAATAACAATTATTATTATTATTATGGATCCTCGCACAGTCAGCCAGATGTTCAGACTGGATTTGGCATTTTGTCTACCTATCGAGTCCTTACCCAGGACCTGGGATAGGCAGATGTGGATGTTTGATGGTATTACAGATATCGTCGCAGGATGGAAGCAGTTCCTAGTAAGGCCGCCTTTTGCAATTGACTAATAGCAAATTTGTCAATGCCAATGGTGTTCAAGTGGTGCTCCAGTTGTTTTGGGATTGCACCCAAGGCTTATTATTATTATTATTATTATGGTGGATCATCGCACAGTCAGCCAGATGTTCAGACTGGATTTGGCATTTTGTCTACCTATCGAGTCCTTACCCAGGACCTGGGATAGGCAGATGTGGATGTTTGATGGTATTACAGGTATCGTCGCAGGATGGAAGCAGTTCCTAGTAAGGCCGCCTTTTGCAATTGACTAATAGCGAATTTGTCAATGCCAATGGTGTTCAAGTGGTGCTCCAGTTGTTTTGGGATTGCACCCAAGGAGCCTATTACTATTGGTACTACCCTTGCTTGCTTTTGCCACAGTCTTTCTATTTCTATTTGTAGGTCTTTGTATTTTGTTATCTTCTCCAGTTCTTTCTCGTCTATTCTGCTGTCTCCAGGCACTGCCACGTCCACTATCCAGACTTTTTTGTCTTTCTTATCGACAATTGTTAAGTCTGGGGTGTTATGTTGCAGGTGCTTGTCTGTTTGAATTCTGAAGTCCCAGAGCAGTTTAATTTTATCATTTTCTATGACTTTCTCTATTTTATGATCCCACCAGTTTTTGCTTACAGGCAAATGATATTTTTTGCAGATCTTCCAATGCACCATTGTTGCTACTTTGTCATGCCGCTGCTTGTAATCAGTCTGTGCAATTTTCTTGCAACAGCTTACCAAGTGGTCCACTGTTTCTTCAGCTTCTTTGCATAGGCGGCACTTACTGTCTGTTGCTGTCTTCTCAATTTTGACTTTGTATGCATTTGTCCTTAAGGCTTGGTCTTGTGCAGCCAGAATTAGTCCCTCGGTCTCTTTCTTCAATTTTCCTGCTCTTAGCCATTGCCAGGTCTTGTTATTATCTGCTTTCCCAGCTATTTTTTTATGTATTGGCCATGTAGTGCTTTGTCTTCCCATGCCTCTATTCTGTTCTTCATTTGGTCTTTCTTGTAGGCCAGTTTGGTCTCTCCAGTAGTTAGTAAGCCTTCCTGATATACTAATTTCAGTGCATCTTCATCATTGTTCTTCAGATATTCTTCCAAAGCCATTTTTTCTTCTTCAACCATCTGATGTACTTGTAGCATTCCACGCCCACCTATTTGCCTTGGTAGATAAAGTCTATCAATGTCACTGCGTGGATGAAGGGCGTGATTCATTGTCATTATTTTTCTGGTCTGCCTATCCATTGCTTTTAGTTCTGCTTGAGTCCAGTCCACTATTCCAGCTGTGTACCTAATGACTGGGATTGCCCAGGTGTTGATTGCCTTTATGGTATTTCCTCCATTGAGTTTGGCCTTTAAGATCTTCTTCACTCTCTTGATGTATTCACCTCTAATCTTTTTCTTGACTTCAGTGTGCTTGATGTTGTCAGCTTGAAGGATACCCAAGTATTTGTAGTACTCTTCCTCATCCAGACTCTTAATGTTATTTTCGTGGGGCATCTTGATTCCTTCAGTTTTCACTATTTTTCCTTGTTTGATAGTAAGTGTGGCACATTTGTCCAAGCCAAACTCCATTACAATATCTTGGCTATATATACGGACAGTGTTGAGCAGCGATTCTATTTCAGATGATGTTTTTCCATACAGCTTCAGATCATCCATGTAAAGGAGGTGGGATAGTCTAGCAGATGTTTTTGATGTTTGATAACCATGTCCTGAGTTATTCAGTATTGTTGACAGAGGAAACAGTGCAATAACAAATAGTAATGGTGATAATGAATCTCCTTGAAATATTCCTCTCTTGATATTAACCTCTCCCAGCTTCTCACCATTGATCTGCAACTGTGTCTTCCATTGTGCCATCGATCTTTGCACAAATTTTCTGATGTTTCTACTTACTCCTGTTATTTCTAGGCACTTGATTATCCAATCATGTGGCAGAGAGTCAAATGCCTTTTTGTAGTCAATCCATGCCACATTCAGGTTGGTCTTCCTTCTCTTGCAGTTTTCCAAGATCATTTTGTCTATTAGGAGTTGATCTTTTGTTCCTCTGCTATTGGGGCGGTTTCCTTTCTGCTCAGGTGGAAAGAGATTGTTTTCAACTAGATGCTGTTGTACTGCATCAGCTACCACACCAGTTAGTAATTTGAAAGTTGTTGGTAAGCAGGTAATTGGCCTGTAGTTACCTGGTGTTGCCCCTTTTGCTGGATTTTTCATTATTAGGTAGGTTTTCCCAGTTGTTAGCCACTTTTCAATTTCTCCTCCTTGTAGTATATTGTTGAACTGCTTGGCAATGAGTGGGTGTATAACAGTTAGATGTTTCAACCAAAACCCATGCAGTTCATCTTCACCTGGTGCTGACCAATTTTTGATTTTCTTTGCTCTTTTTTCTACCATTTTTGTTGTTATTACTAGTTCTTTCATTTCAACTTCTGTTTTATTTGCATCCACCTCTTTTAACCAAGCCGCATCCTTGTTGTATTTCTTTGGGTTATCCCATATCTGCTTCCAGAACTGCACTGTTTCTTCCTTGTCAGGTACTGACTGATTCCTTGCAGTTTCTCCATTGATGGATTGGTAGAAACATTTCTGATTGGATTGAAATTGGAGGTTTTGCCTATAGTTTGCAATTCGAGCTTCATATCTACTGATTTTCCTGGCTATAGCTGTTATTTGTTGCTTTATTATTTCCAATGCTTCCTTGATCTTCCTTGTTTCTAAGTGGTATTTCTTGATTAGGTATTCTTTGGTCTTCTTGTTCTTCAGCTTCTTTTCTTTCATCTGTTCTAGCTTGCTTGCATGTGATCTTAACTTGCTGATCTTATTTTCTAGTCTAACCTTCCATTTTTCTGGTGCACTGTTTGTTTGTTTTTCTTTTTTGTTGATTTTACATCCCAGGTATTCTGTTATAACTGCAGCTGTGCTGTACATTAGTTGGTTTGTTTCTTGCAGTGAATTG